CGGGCCTGGCGAGGCAGGCTCGGGGGGGGCAGAGGAGCTGGGCCCGACGAGGCAGGCTCGGGGGGGGGCAGAGGAGCTGGGCCCGACGAGGCAGGCTGGGGGGGGGGCAGAGGAGCTGGGCCCGGCGAGGCAGGCTCGGGGGGGGCAGAGGAGCCGGGCCCGGGGAGGCAGGCTCGGGGGGGGGCAGAGGAGCCGGGCCCGACGAGGCAGGCTGGGGGGGGGCAGAGGAGCCGGGCCCAACGAGGCAGGCTGGGGGGGGGCAGAGGAGCCGGGCCCGGCGAGGCAGGCTCGGGGGGGGCAGAGGAGCCGGGCCCGGCGAGGCAGGCTGGGGGTAACCATGGTCTGTCCTGCCCTAGACGCAGACCCCGAGGAGCGCCGGACTCTGGAGCACGACCCGGTGGTGAAGGTAGTTCACTCTCCATTCTCGTCCCACCGTAGGAGGGGGGGAGGGGGGCTGTGGTCGGCATTTGGGAGACCCTGGGCCGAGGTGCAGACTGGACCGGACACTGCTTGGGCTCTGTCTCACGGGGTGGCCAGCCAGGCTGCATGGGGCCCACTGCTCGCCGGGCGGAGAGCAGGGGGGCGTCGGTGCAGCCTGGGGCCCGGGGCTGGGCTGGGTCATCCAGCCGGTGGGGAGCCCCGGGTCTCGCTGAGCCGGCCCCTCATGCCAGGCTCCTCTCGCTTCCCATCTAGAAAGTGGTGGAGAAACTGAAGCAAGAAGAGGAGCAACAGAAACAGGTGTGTGTGCCGATCCCTCTGTGCGTGTGCACAGGTGTGCCGGTGGATCTGTGCGTGTGTCTGCATGTGTCCGTGTCCCTGGCTGGAGGGGAGGTGCCCGGCAGGGGGAGGGGGATGCACCCCTGTCTTGGCACTGGGGTCACTGTTCACACACACCTCGTTATTTGCATTTGACTTTTATTTCTTCTCTCCCCACTCTCGCCCCCACCGGTGCAGAAACCCAGCCTCGACTGTGAGAACGACAAGGACATCGAGGTGAGGGGGGCCGGGCCCATGGGACCCACAGGGACGGAGACTTTGCTTCCCTGCTCCTGGCAGATCTTTCCCTTCGCTGTTACTACCGTGGCAAATAGAGGCCCTAGCTTGAGATGAGGCCCCGTCGCGCCGGGCGCCACCCAGACCCCACCCGAGATCAGGGCCCCGTCACGCCGGGCGCTGCCCAGACCCCACCCGAGACCAGGGCCCCGTCACGCCGGGCGCCACCCAGACCCCAGCCGAGACCAGGGCCCCGTTGCACCAGGCGCTGCTCAGACCCCGACCGAGATCAGGGCCCCGTCACGCCGGGCACCGCCCAGACCCCACCCGAGACCAGGGCCCCGTCGCGCCGGGCGCTGCCCAGACCCCGACTGAGACCAGGGCCCCGTCGCGCCGGGCGCCGCCCAGACCCCACCCGAGACCAGGGCCCCGTTGCGCCGGGCGCCGCCCAGACCCCGACCGAGACCAGGGCCTCGTCACGCCGGGCGCCGCCCAGACCCCACCCGAGACCAGGGCCCCGTTGCGCCGGGCGCCGCCCAGACCCCGACCGAGACCAGGGCCCCGTCACGCCGGGCGCCGCCCAGACCCCACCCGAGACCAGGGCCCCGTCGCGCCGGGCGCCACCCAGACCCCGGCCAAGACCAGGGCCCCGTCGCGCCGGGCGCTGCCCAGACCCCGAGCGAGCCCGCCCCTGGGCAACTCCCCATCTAAACACAGGCCGGGGGAAGGGGAAGGAGGCACCGAGGGGGGACGGGACGTGCTCGCCCAGCACCTCAGCAGCAGAGGAGGGAGGAGAACGCAGGTGACCTGAGCCCCAGGCCCCCGTGCCGCCCCCCCAGGCCATCGCCCAGCAGCTGCGGGTGCTGCCCCTGACGGAGCGGAACCTCCGCATGTTCGAGCACGCCAGCCGCAACCTCATCCCCTCGGCCGAGCGGCAGTTCGCCTGCCAGCCCTGCGACAGCGCCTGGTGGCGCCGCGTGCCCGAGAGAAAGCAGGTGCGTCCGCCGGTGGGGGCGGGCGGTGGGGGCGGGCGGGGCCGTGGCCCAGGACACTCACGCTCTCTGGTGCCCCCCACAGGTGTCCCGGTGCCGGCTGTGCGGGAATCGCTATGACCCGGTGCCCTACGACAGGATGTGGGGCACGGCCGAGTTCCTCTGCCCCGCCTGCAACCGCAGCTTCAGGTGAGGGGGGGTCTCCCCACGGCCTGCCCCTGCCATGGGGGGGGAGGGAGGGGGAGCACAGGCAGGCTCCAGCCAGCGGCTGGGGGGCCGGGGGGAGCGTGACTCACAGCCACCCTCTCTCCTCCTGCCAGGGGCTCAGCACAGATGGGCATGGCCTCTCCCTGCTTCATCTGCGGCACCCGCGTGCTGCCCAGCCGCATCCTCTCGCCGCGCCAGGTCGCCGGGTCCCGGAGCCGTAACCCCCACTCCTGCTACGCTGAGGACTGCTACAACCGCCGAGGTGAGGGGCTGTTTGGGGAGGGGGGCTGGGAGCCAGGACTCCTGGGTTCTATCCCCAGCTCGGGGAGGGCAGTGGGGTCTGGTGGGTCAGAGCAGGGGGGAGCTGGGAGTTCGGACACGTGGTTTCCATCTGTCACGGCGTGGGGGGGGGAGTCCGGGACCTGCACCCCTCTTCCTGGGATTCACTGAGACTCTCAGCCAGCCAGGAAAACGGAAGGTTTATTGGACCACAGGAACACAGTCCACAACAGAGCTTGTGGGTACAACCAGGACCCCTCAGTCAAGTCCTTCTGGGGAGCAGGGAGCTCAGACCCCAGCCCTGGGGTTCCCTGCGTTCCACCACCCAGCCCCGAACTGAAACTAACCCCCCCCCCCCCACCAGCATGCTCCCTCCTGCAGCCTCTGTCCACATTCCTGGGCAGAGGTGTCACCTCCCCCTCCCCCTCCTGGCTCAGGTTACAGGCTGTCAGGTCTCCCAGGGAAACTCCCCTGCCACATTCCCAGGTCAACACTCTCCCCTCCCTGCTGCGTCCCACCATCCCTGGCTTTGCCACTGACTCAAGTCCCTTCCTTGCTCTGTGCCTCAGTTTCCCCTTGGTAACTTGGGAGCAGCGCCCTGCGAGCCCCGGCTACTGCCCCATTTGACACTGCTCCCTCCCCCCCCCACAGAGCCCCATGTGCCCGGCACCCACTGCGTCCACCCCCGCAGCCGCTCCAAGAACAGGCTGCCCAAGGTGCTGTTCGCCAGCCTGGAGCACCAGAGCACCGGCTCCACCGTGGCCACCTGCCTGAGCCAGGGCAGCCTGGCCCACTGCGACCTGGACGAGCTCCTCCTCGAGGACCTGGCGGAGGAGAGCGAGGGCTCCGGGGACTAGCGCCCCTGCTGGCCCTGGGGCCCCTGCGCCCAGGGCTCTGTTTGCACTTTATCCTTCTCTCGGCTTTTCTCGCCTGGCCAGGCCGACCCCGCTCCTCGGAGCAGGTGGGGGTCCTCTCTGGGGCGGGGCTGGGGCCCGTCTCTGCCCAGCCCTGGTGGAAGCCGCAAGCCGGCCTGGTGCTGCTGGGGCCCTGCGGGTGCTGGGCCTGGCACTGGATCTTTGCCTCCCCCTTAATTATTCCACGTAACTCTTAGAGAACCAGGGTCTGGAGGGCCCCGGGGTCCCCTCCCCGATCCGGGGGGGCTGTGGGGATGGAGTCAGGGCCTGGATTTCAGGCTGAATTCCGGCTCTTTTGTTTCTCTCTCTTTGCTGGCTCAGGCCCTGGGCTTGCAGCATTGACCAAAGCCGAGCGGCTGGACGGGGCAAGGCCGGCTGCCCCTGGGACCAAACCAGGGCGGGCGCGGGGGGCAATTCTCCCCATGGCCCTGCCAGAGCCGCGGCCCTCGCCCCTTTCCGCGGCAGGCTCGGCTGGGCCGGCTCGGCTGGGCCGGCCCGTCTGTCCTGTGTCTGTCTGCTCCGGGGGCAAGTCCCGAGCTTTAACCCCGAAGTGCCCATCCCCTCCTGCCACCCTGGGCCTGGGGGTTGCTGGGAGACGCCCATCACCGTGGTTACAGTTTCTTAGCAGCCACCGTTTTTTAAATTGATTCAGAATAAAGAAGGTTTGTCACAGCCGGCGTCCCGGGCGCTGCTGGGCTGGCAGGGCCGGGCGCGGGGAGCCCTGCCCAGGGACCACGGTGCTGCCCTCTGTCCTGTGGCGATGCCCTGCCCTTCCCGGTGCCTGGGAGGAAGCTGGGCAGGATCCCTCCCTCCAGCAGCCCTGGGGTCTCAGGCGTGGGCTGGTGGGCCTGGGTGCTCATGCGTCAGGGGCAGGGGTCTTGGGCGTCCGGGGGGGCAGCTCCGGGGACTCGGGCGTCAGGCGGCTCCGGGGGTACTGGCAGCGTCAGGGGCGGGTGGCTCCGGGGGTTCAGGCGGCGGGCGGCTCCGGGGCGTCGGGGGCGGGCGGCTCCGGGGCGTCGGGGGCGGGCGGCTCCGGGGGTTCAGGCGGCGTCGGGGGCGGGCGGCTGCAGGCGTCGGGGGCGGGCGGCTCCGGAGGTTCAGGTGGCGTCGGGAGCGGGTGGCTGGAGGCGTCGGGGGCGGGCAGCTCCGGGGCGTCGGGGGCGGGCGGCTGCGGGTGGCTCCGGGGCGTCGGGGGCGGGCGGCTCCGGGGGTTCAGGCGGCGTCGGGGGCGGGCGGCTGCGGGGCGTTGGGGGCGGGCGGCTCCGGGGGTTCAGGCGGCGTCGGGGGCGGGCGGCTGCAGGCGTCGGGGGTGGGCGGCTCCGGGGGTTCAGGTGGCGTCGGGGGCGGGCGGCTGCTGGGTGTCGGGGGCGGGCGGCTGCTGGGCGTCGGGGGCGGGCGGCTCCGGGGGTTCAGGCGGCGTCGGGGGCGGGTGGCTGCAGGCGTCGGGGGCGGGCGGCTGCGGGTGGCTCCGGGGCGTCGGGGGCGGGCGGCTCCGGGGGTTCAGGCAGCGTCGGGGGCGGGCGGCTCCGGGGCGTCGGGGGCGGGCGGCTCCGGGGGTTCAGGCGGCGTCGGGGGCGGGTGGCTGCAGGCGTCGGGGGCGGGCGGCTCCGGGGGTTCAGGCGGCGTCGGGGGCGGGCGGCTCCGGGGCGTCGGGGGCGGGCGGCTGCTGGGCGTCGGGGGCGGGCGGCGCGGGCCGGACCATCATCACCACCTTGCGCAGGGAGTAGGCGCTGCCGTGGAACTCGGCCCAGTAGACGCCGTCCTGGTAGCGGCTGCGGTAGGGCCCGCCCTGGTACCACACCCCGTTGAGGTTGGCGTGGGCGCAGGCATTGTACCACCAGCCGCCCCTCTGGTGCTGGGCACAGCTCCCTGCGGGGAGGGGAGACGGCGTCAGGGCCGGGAGGGTCCCGCGGGGGCGGCGCCAACCCCCATGGCCCCCTAGGCCCGGGAGTCAGCCAGCCCCCCCACCAGCCCCCTTTCTCTGGAGCCGTGGTGGGTAAGAGGGAATGGGGCAGAACCTGCCCGCTGCTTACCCAGTTGTGGTCCCTGGTGCCCCCCGCCCCCTGCAGCCCCCTCACCGCTGTAGGCGTCGTGGTCCCGGTCCAGCGTGCTGAAGGGGCGGCCGTCGTGCCAGGCCAGCGAGTCCCCGGCGCTGCCCCGGTACCGGCCCAGCCGCAGCCGGTAGGAGTCGCTCTCGGGCTCCAGGGCGAAGCGGTCGTAGTGGGCATACGCCTGGCGCCCCGCCCAGTCCTCCAGCAGCACCCGCAGCGCGTAGGGCCCCGGGCCCTGCCCCGTCACCTGGCGGGTGTTCTCCAGCCCCAGCCAGTGCTCGCCGTCCAGCGTCCCGAAGCCGTGCTGGGGGGGGTGCAGGGGGAGTGAGGGAAGAGACAGGGCTGGGGGGCCCTGGGAGGTGAGTGGGGGGTGGGTAATGGCCAGGGGCTCCTAGGGAAGGGGGACAGTCTCTGGCCCCAGGAAGGTGAGTGGGGACCCTCCCTCAAATCCCCTTCCCCCACCCCCCTGGGCTCCAGGGCCAGTTCAGCCCTCGGCCCCCTGCTGTGGGGTCCCGTGGGGCCGTTTGGAGCCCAGGCCCCACCCACCCCCCTCACCACCAGCCCCATCGCTGCATCATCCCCTTCGTGGGGTCTGACCCCCTCCCCTGGTTCTAAGCTGCCCCCCCACCCCCCCACCCCCAGGCCTAACCGGGACCTGGCGCCCCCTCGGGCCCCCACGGCCTTGGAGCCCCCGCCCCACCCCTGGGGGTGGAACCCCAGGCTACCCAGGGCGGCCCCCCCATACCTTGTAGTGGTGCCAGGTGGTGAAGAAGCTGACGGAGCCGTCCTGGCGCCGTTGGATCACGGTCCAGCCCCCGCCCTCGAGCTCCTGCTCGCACCAGACCTGCAGGGACTGTCCTGTGCCCGCCGGCTGCACCAGATAGACCCCGCTGGCCCGGTGCCCGCTGTGCCGCGCCTCCAGGCAGTCGCGCCAGGGCCCTGCGCCCCGGGAGCCGCGTCAGAGGGACAGGGGGGCCGGGCCAGGCAGGCCGCCCCTGCCCACCATACCCCCCCTGGGTGGGGATGTCTGGGGGCACTGCCCCCTCTGGGCTCCCCCTGTCCTGCCCCCTTTGCTGCTGGCCACCCCCAGCCAGAGATGCCCTTTGGTCCCTGGGGCTGGGATGGGGGGAGAGGCGAGCGGAATGGGTGGTTTTCCCCCCTCCCGGTCGTGAACCTCCTAACCCATCTGTGGGGGGGTGGGGGTGGATCGGGGCGGGGAGAGACCCCTGCCAGGAGGCTGAGGGGGGCAAGGTGGTGCATTGGGGAGGGGGAGAGGTAGGGGGTGGGAGGCCCTGGGTGGGGAGGGCACCCCAGGCTGGAGGGGGGGGTGAGGTGGTGGGTTAGGGGTGAGCGTGAACTTTATTTTATGGCCCTGTCAGCCTGTAAAGCCTGCGGTGAAACCTGGCCCCACTCCCCCGACCCATGGATGTTCAGCCAAAGCCGGTGGGGGGCGGTGGCACGTCCCAGGCGTGGAGGGGGAGGCCGTGGGCCAGGCCCCCCTTCCCCCCGCCTGGCTCGGGCTGCAGACGCTGCTGCCAGCACCGTGGCCACAGCAGGGAACAGGCGAGGGGGGGGCGGGCTGCAATCTGGGTGTCCCCCCCTCCCCCCGCGGCTCCGGCCGCCCGACTCACCCGGGGCCCTGGGGGGCAGCGTGGGGGGCGCCGGCTCCGTCTGGTCCATCTGCAGCTCGGCGGCAGCGTCGAAATGCGCCCGGCTCTCGTTGGCGACGCCGGACGGGCGGAGGGGCACCACCGGCACCAGGGGGGGCTGCGAGGAGACGAGACGGGGCCCTGAGCCGGGCACCCCCCCGGGCACCGCCGCCCCCCCACTGCCCAGCGTGGGGCACCCCCCGCCCTGCCCCGTTGCCCCCCTGCCCTGGCGTTACCTGCGGGGGGGCTGGCCCGGCGCCCCCCGGGCACCGCCGCTCCAGCCGCGCGATGAGGGCGCTCTGGCTGTTGACGAGGGCGGCCAGCGCCTGGTAGCTCAGCTCCAGCTGGCGGTAGCCGGCGGCCAGCCGCAGGGCCTGGGCCGAGGCGTTGGCCACGCGCCCCTCGAGCTGGGCCCGCAGCCCGGGCCCCTGGCGCCGCTGCAGGATCTCGTGCAGCAGCTGGGCGTAGAGCTGGCCCACGCGGGCGTTCAGGGCGCGGCTCTCCTTCCGCAGGGCCTTCGCCTCGCTCACCAGGGCGCCGTCCACCGCCGCCAGCCCCCGCAGCCGGCCCAGCTCCGCCCGCAGCCGGCCCAGCTCCGCCCGCTGCCGGCCCAGCTCCGCCCGCTGCGCCCGCGTCTCGCCGCCATCGGGCCCCGGCGGCGCGGGGGCCGCCCGCCCGCTGCTCCAGCACACGGCCCCCGTGAACTGCTGCCGCGGCACGACGAAGGTGTAGGTGCACTTGGCCCCGGGCGGGGGCTCGGCCGCCCGCCCCCCCCGGCTCCGCCCCGGCTCCTCCGCACGGCTCTCCGGGTGCGCCAGCCCCACCAGGCTCAGGAGCAGCAGGGCCACAGGCCAGGGGGCCACGGCGCCGGGCTCTGGGGGGGAGAGCGGAGCTGAGAGGGGGGCTCCGTGCTGGGAGCCGGGGTCCTGGGAGCGGTTCCCACCTCTGCCCTGCCGGCTGACCTTGGGCAAGTCCCTTCCCCTCTGCGTGACTCAGTTTCCTCACCCACCCCGGGGCTGCCTGCGCGGCGGGGGAGCACCGCTGGGTGCTGCTGGTCTAGAATTAATAGAACAGGGTCCCTACCTTAACCGAACCCCCTTGTGTGGGGGCAGGACGCACCCCCTTGCTCTCACCACCAGACCCCACTCAGCTCCCAGAGCTGGGGGGAGAACCCAGGAGTCCTGGCTCCCAGCCCCCTGCTCTAACCCCCAATGCTTCCTGGTGAAGTAATCTCTGTTGGAGACAGCTGCCCCTCACCCCCCCAGCACCGCTCAGTGGGGCCAGGCAGCCTGCTCCACTCCCGCCCCAGGCTCTGTTAGTTCCCTGGCAGGGGAGGGGGGTCCCAGGATACCAGCTCCCTGGCGGCCCCTGGGCAGCTGCTCCCCACCCGCCCCATCTCAGGCCTGTGCTGGGCTTATGCCTGCCTCGAGACAAGGCTGGCCCCTGACCCCGTTCCCACGCTGCCCCTGGGGCAGCGGAGCCCCACCCACTGGGGGAATGTGGAGGATGCCTGGATTCCTGGGGGGGAGAAGCTGACCCAGCCCCAGCCCCCCCATGGGACAAGGGGCATTCCCTGGCTAGATCTGGGCACAGAGCCTGGCTGCAACGAGGGCCGGGCTCTGCCCATCAGTGGCGTGGCTGTGCAAAGAGCTCCAAGCACCACAGAGAACTGAGCCCTGCCCCCCCCCCCCCGCACACAGCACCAGTGCGAGCCCCATTTGCCAGTGGGGAAACTGAGGCACAGAATGAGGACAGGCTTTGCTCCCAAGTTGCACAAATCGGGTGAAGGTGGGGATAGCGTCCTGGCTCCCAGCCCGTCCCCCCAGCTCTAACCACTAGCCCCCACTCCTCTGGCAGAGCTAGGGACAGGACCCAGCAGTCTTAATACCCAACCCCGCGTCCCCCAGCACAGAAACCCTTCTCCAGCCGCTCCCTGGCATGCAGACGCGGCAGGAGCTGGGCCGTTCGCCCCCCCGCCCCACACATGCAGAGCCAGTGCCGGGAAGGAGGGGACCGGCCCTGGTGCCAAACCCCCAGCGCATCAGGTGACTATTCCAGCTGCCAGCGAAGGCTTTTCCCAGGGCTGTTTATCGCACAGCCCCGCGGAGCCACATGCCGGGGGCGCGGAATCGGGCCCTCGGCACCGCAAAGCTCCACCCGCCTGCCCCCACCAGAGCCCCCTTAGCTGGCCCCTCTCCAGAGCAGGGCGGCTCGGGGCACCCCGGTGCCTGGGTCTGAGCGAGGCAGGCTGCCTCCCGCGGCCAGGCCGGTGCGGAGCGGAGCCCAGCAGCGTGGCTGTCCCGGGCAGAGCGGAGGGAGGAAATGTCCCCGCTGCACGTACGGCTCACAGGCTGGGGGGTGAAGCCGGCAGGTGGGCACCAGGGTCACCCCAAGTGCCGGATGCTGCCCAGACCCCTGCTGAGATCAGGGCCCCACAGACCTGACGGGGGGACAGTCCTGCAGCACCCCGCAGCGTTGGTACCCTGGCCGACACCCACCCGTCCCAGAGCCCCCCAGGGTCCCTGCTGAGAGCCTGGCAGCTCTCGGGGTGGGGGGTACTGAGGCCCCCCGTGGGTCGGGATTGCCGAGGCTGACCTCTTGCCCCACAGGCAGCTGGACAGCCTGGCTACGAGCAGGGCACTTCCAGCAGGGTAATGCGGCCCTGGGCACGGCCAAACAGCAGAGGATGGGCGATGGCAGTGCCCGTCACCGGGGGGCACCCCCCCGGCCAGAGGCTCGGGAACCCCCACGGGGCTACGAGTGTCCCAGAGGAGAGCGGGGCGCTTCGTGGAGCCCCGAGGCGCTGCCCGTCAGAGTGTCAGCCCCAGAGAGATGCAGGCACCTGCCACCGGGCACACAGGGACTCAGTGGCAGAGCCAGGAATTGAACCCAGAGCTCCTAGGGCCCAGTCCTATGTCCCCCCCCACAAGCCCCCTGCTTGCTGCAGCCCCTGTGGGCAGGGAGGCTGCCATGTGCAGCTGCCCCCCTGGGTTTGCAGGTCCCCTCTCAGAGGGGCAGGCCTGGCCCCTGGGGTCACCGCTTGGCTGCCTCCACTTACCAGTTACCTCCTGGCGCATCTCCCTCGGCCGCAGAGGGTGCTCTGGTGCGGTCAGTGCTGGGGCGGGCAGGAGGTGGCCACCGCCGACCCGCACGCCGGGCAAGGGACAAAGTAGGAGCAGTCGCATTAGATGTGGAAGAGCCCAGTTAGCAACCACCTAAACCCCACTCCTGTCCCCAACCCAGTAACAGAACCCAGGAGCCCTGGATCCCAGCCCCCAGCTCTAACCACTAGCCCCCCACTCCCGTCCCAGAACTGGGATAGACCCCAGGAGTCCTGGCTCCCAGCCCCTCTGCCTGCCCAGAGCCCCTGCCCAGGCCGTCCGTGTGGGCAGGGCTCTCCCAGCAGAAGGCCCGTGATGCTAAGCAGGAGCAGGGCATGGGAATGCCTTTCCTGACCCCCGGCCCCGCAATCAGGTCTGAGGGCAGCGCTCCGAGCCCAGCTGTAAATATTTACATCCTGCTCATTCCTCCACTCTGTGCCTGCTCACCCCACCCGCCCCCCATCCTGCCAGGCACCCCCTGGGCTGTTGCTCCCCACGCCCCTCCCAGCAGCTAGGAGCTGGGACAAACTCCCCCAAAGTCTCCCGAGCAGTCCTCCCGACCCAGCGCGTTCCCCTCCAGCCCCCTGGGACCCACCTTGACCCCCATCTGTCCCCCAGGAGAAGGGTCCAATCCCCCAGCTCCACAGCGCACAGCTGCCGGCCCCAGGGCAGGTCAGTGGAATGCCAACGCCCTGGCACCTCTGCCCAGCCAGCGGATGGGGCAGACGAGCCGCTGGCCAGCCCCGGTCCCTGCCCAGGGTGCAGATGCCAGTGACAGCTGCAGGCCCCGGCTGAGCTCTGCAGCCGCCTGCCTAGGAATGCCGCTCGCTCCCGGACAGGCAGGCAGCCAGTGGCAACTCCAGCTACTGCTCCCCGCCTCCTCCGCCTCCCCTCCCAGCTCCGAGCAGGGCCCAGCCCAGGCCGGCTGCGGGTGGCACCTGGGGGAGCAGATTCCGGCTTCTGGTCACAGCCCTGCATGGTGCCTGGCAGCGGCCCAGAGGGCAGGGACAAAGGGGTGGGGGGGGTCACCACACGGACACCCCGGAGCCCTGGCAGCGCAGGGCACAGCCCGGGTATGCTTTCTATTATGGTATCTGACCGAGATCAGGGCCCCCAGGGCACCTGGTGCCCGGTGCCGGCTCTGCTGAGCCAGCCCTGCTCTGCCAACGCTGCCCGCTTTAAACGAGCAATGCACATGCAGGCCGAGCAGTGGGATTCGGGGCTGGCATTCCAGGCAGACACACCCCTCTGCAGATGCCAGGCCCATCCCCGGAGTGCCAGCCCAGCAGGGCAGTGCACAGAGAACCCCCAAGGCTTGTCTGGTGCCCCCCCCCGTGCCACACGCCTCTCTGCCCCGGGCGGCCCCGGCGCGGGCCACGTGCTGGGCTGGCGGACGCCGGAGAGCGGGCGGCCCCGGCACGTTCCACAGGCCCAGACAGGTGGGAATTTTTCAACTAAATGTTTTTTGGAGGAAAATGATTCCGTGGCACCAGGACATTTTGCGGGAAAGGCTCTCGGGGCCAGCATGGGGCACCCAGGATAGGCCATGGTGCGGGCGCTCATCTGGGAGACCCAGGTCAAGTCCCTGCTCTGCCTGATTGGGATCCTCAGGGACTTGAACCTGGGGGTCCCACGTCCCTGGGGAGAACCCGCCCAGCTGTACTGGTGGTAGCAGCTGGCTGCCGGGTTTGGGCCCCTGGGCTGGTGCTCTCAGGGTGCTCACACTGGTGTGGGGCAGTGCCCCCTAAGCGAGACATGGCCGAGCTGGGGTTTGCACCCACAGAGCCTGCTGAGGTTTAGCAGGGGCGATTCCGAGTGCGGGCCTGGCCTGTAGCAGCCCTGGGGACATCAGGGAAGCCGAGTGTGGGTGGGGCTGAGCCCCCGGGGAGGATTCGCCAATCCCCTGGGCTGCGATGGAGCCTCTCAGGACGCAGCGTATCCGGCTGCTGCTTAGCATCGGGCCTCTGCCCAGCCCCTGCATGGCCTGGGAGGGGGGGCTGGGACGCTGGTTACAAGGCAGGCGAAGTTTGTCAGGACAGGCGGCTGGAGTGCCGGGCACAGACACCTCAGCGCTGGGCCGTCTGGCTGGGCGTGGAGCCCACCCATTAAACAAAGGGTTAAGGGGCCTTGCGAGCAGCACAGAGATCCTGGGAATTAGGGGAATGGGGGCTCTCCCGGCAGGGTGGGTATGGGGAAGCGAGGGCTGGTGTCCACCGAGGCCCCTGCAGGCACCCTGGGAAAGGGGAAGCTCCCCACGGTGCTGTGCCAGATCTCGGGGCGGAGCTGAGCCCAGGGCCCCAACCACCTAATTCCAAAGCAGGGAAGGGGACAATCTGCTTTTAATTTCCTGGCCTTTGTAGCCCGGCCAAGACCCACTCCGGAGAGCCAGGCGTGGGCCCAGCAGAGCGCGAGGCAGGTCGGGGGGGCCGGGATCCGTGGAGGGGAGAACAGAGCTCCCAGGACAGGGGGATCCGGCCAGGCTGGGCTCCCCACTGCGAGGGGACCTGCGCTTTGGGGACCCCTGGCAATGCTGGGCCCAAAGAGGAGACGGCCCGGGCGGGCGCCGGGCTGGGTTCTCGTCCTGGCCCAGTAAATCACCCCCCTCTTGGCGCCTTTGTTTCCCTCCAGCCCTGGGCATGGGGGGCACCTTAGGGTTGCCCCCCGAGGTTCTGCCCCTTTCCCCAAGGCCCCGCCCCCATCGCTCGCTCTTCCACCTCTTTTCCCCTCACTGGCTGGATTGTCTCCCCCCTCCATGGTTCCCTCTTCTCTGGGGCCGGGCTGGGACCCAGGTTAGAGCAGGGGCTGGGCAGTACATCTGACCGGACATTAGGGTGGCCAACTTTCTAATCGCACAAAACCGAATGCCTCTGCCCCGCCCCCCCGCTCCATCCCCCTCCCTCCTTCGCTTGCTCTCCCCAACCCTCACTTTCACCAGGCTGGGGCAGGGGTTGGGGTGCAGGAGGGGGGTGAGGACTCCGGCTGGGCTGCAGGTTCTGGGGTGGGGCTGGAGATGAGGGGTTTGGGATGCAGGAGGGGGCTCCGGGGCTGGAGCTGAGGGGCTCAGAGTGTGGGAGGGGGTGTGGGCTTTGGGGTGGGGCCAGGGATGGGGAGTTTGGGGTGCAGGAGAGGGCTGGGGTATTGGAGGCTCCGGAAGGGAGTTTGGGTGCGGCAGGGGACTCTGGGCTGGGACAGGGGGTTGGGCTGTGGGAGGGGCCTCGGGGTGTGGGGTCCCGGTGGTGTACCTTGGATCCCAGAAGCGGCCGCCAGGTCCCTGCAGCCCCTAGGCACACGGTGGTCCCCGGCCGATGGGAGCTGCGGAGCCGGCCCTCGGGGCAGGGGCAGTGTGCGGAGCCTACCTGGCCACCCATGTGCCGAGGGGCTGCAGGGACCTGGCGGCCGCTTCCGGTAGCCACGTGGAGCCAGGGCAGGCAGGGAGCCTGTCTTAGCTCCGGGCCCCCGCTGCACCCCCGACCGGACTCTTAACGGCCCGGTCAGCGGTGGCTTTACGTTCTGGGCACCTGCCAACCTGAGGCACGATGGGGCCTGCAAGCGTCTCTGCAAAGGTTTCACTGGGTGTGGATAATACGAGGGGGCTGGAGACAGCGGAGGGGCACTCAGGGGATAGTCAGTGGGCAAGTGGGGATACACGGGATACCTGGGGGACAGGTGCAGTGTGTGGACGAGAAGATGGGAACGTACAATGGGAGCTGCGTGCAGCACAGGGAGATGGGTCAGGGGGCACAGGGGGCACATGGAACACGGGGGGTTAGGTGTAGGGGTGCAGCATATGTGGGGGGCACAGGGGGTGTATGGGGCACGGGGGGTTAGGTGTAGGGGGTGCAGTGTATGTGGGGGGCACAGGGGGTGTATGGGACACGGGGGGTTAGGTGTAGGGGGTGCAGCGTATGTGGGGGGCACATGGGGTGAATGGCACACTGGGGTTAGGTGTAGGGGTGTGTCAGCATATGTGGGGGATGCTTGGAACTGCTCGGGGTGAAGGTCGGGACTCTGGGGTTAGTCGCCTTGTAGGGGGTGCAGCCTGTATGTGGGGGGTGTGGAAGTTTGACTGTTCTTGAATGTTTCCTCTGAATAGTGTGGGAAGGGGTCACACCGCCTTGGCCACCCCCACACCACCATTCCCCAAACGGGGGTCAAACTGGGATTGGGTTTTCTCCCAGAGCTCCAGTCTGAGGGGTGCTATTTCGGGTTTGCTTGATTGGGGCCCCCCCCCCTCTTGACCTGGGCCACATAATGTTCACTTCCAAAACCTTTTGTTAACAAAAAAAACCAAAAGGCAGCTCCTTTCCCAACAACCTTGTCTCCCCCCCACCATCTTTAGCCTGGCCCATCTTTCGGGGAAAGTTGTGGATCCATTCACAACAGAAAATTTCTGGCTGTTAGGAACTGAAACTTTCTTGATTAAATCATTTTCACACCCTTCAGTTGTTGAGTAAACAGTAAACTGCTTGCAAAGACTCCATGAGGATTCCTTTCCCAAGGGCTTTTCTATGCAACAATTCACCCCCCTCCCAGAAATACTGCTCTTACCCTCTTTACCTAGGGCTTGCTCTAGGGGAACACTTTCCTGAGCAACAACAGACTCTTTCTGGGTCTCCCTTACATCCAGAATCACCTCTGGCCCATCAGGCGGATTCCTACACAATCCCCTTTCAGGCAAACTTACAGACTTCCTAGATAAAAGGTTAGAAGCATTCTCCTTCCCTTTGCCACACCCTCCCCCCCCAAGTTCAGGAATCTTTTCCTTCTTGCTACAGGTTTCCACACCCTCAGTAGGTAACACAATCACACACCTTCCTCTTTTTATGCTCTCCTTGTGCCCTGGCTAGGATCTCACCCTGATTAGACAGAGTTGCTCCACCCTTTCCAACAACACACTAGCAACAGGCAAAATACAAGCACCAGAATTGTCTGGTCTCGGGGATTTTACATAGACCCTAACTGGATGCGACCTAGTTACAGGGCCATTCTCCTGAGCAGACAGAAACTTAGGACCCTTCCCTTCCTGGGCTTTAGCTGAATCCAGAACCAGCTCTGAGACAACTGCACGACCCTCAACCATCACAGGCTGAAAGGCCCCTTCTGTCTGCTCCACAGACCAAGAAGAGCCGGACACACTTTCTCCTTTACCAGACACACAGGTTGGGATCTCATTCCCTTTGTCCCAGCACACAAGGCTGGTCACAGACAACTGCTTGGAGATCAGGGTAGCTCCCTCCATAGGCAAGTCAATACCCCTGACAGACAGAGACCCATTTCCTTCACTGTCCCAATTTCTCCACCCAGCTAACAGGTAAGGTCCAGGGACTCTCATCTTCCACTCTCCTCGCCTTCCCACCCTGCTGACTGGACACAGCCATCAGCTCACAAGGCTGCCTAGGCTCATCCAAACTTCCCTTACCAAGCACCTTGCCACTCCCCACAGATCCCCTGCCCTGCCTGTGTCTCCCCCCACTCAGCTGGGGTCTCAGCTCCCACTGTGCTCAGCACTGCCCTTGCTGTCCCAGTGGGGGCAGGCCACTGCTTTCCTCACTGCATCAGAGCCAGCGAGAGTCCCCAGTCTGGTGTGCAAGGGGGCAGGGAGCATCTCTCTGTCCCACCGAGTCCCAGGGGTCTGGTTACAGGCAGGCAGGTAGCCTGAGCCTAGCGGCTCCTCCCTGCTGCCAGCCAGGTCATCTGCATTTTCACTGACCATTTCCCTCTCCACCGATTGGTTCCCTGGATTCAAATTCAAACCCCTGGCAGTTACAGGAGCAGGGCCTGGATCCTGTCCCAAAGAGACACAGTCACCCCACAACAGGGTCTCGCAGCTGGTGTCCTGGGGCACCCCAACGGCCAGCCAGCCCAACCCCTCCTGGGTCTGCACAGGGATCTGGGCCATAGGCAGGGCGAGGGGCTTCGTCCCTGGGACCCTCACCCAGCTCACACAGGCCCTCAGCCTCTGAGGCTGCACCACCCAGGGTCTGACACCAGTTCTCTCTGTCCCAGGATCTCGCCACCCCAGGAATGTCTCCCCATTCACCATCACCTTCTGCTCCCACTGGGAGTCCGAGGGCCCGACCCCAGGGAACTCCACACAGACATATAGGTTGGGGTCAGGAGTGGGAGCCTGTCCACCTCCCCACCCATCTGGCTGATGGAGTCTGTGGCCTTGGGACCGAGCAAGGGAGCTAGACACCGGGGTTTTCCTAAGGGCCCCCCTGTTTCCGCCCCCCCCCCCCCCAAAAGGAGGGGGGGGGCCCCTCCCCCCCCCCCCCCCCAACCACAGCCAGCTATTTTCTTTTCGTTGGGGTTAGGTTCCCTGCGGAACTGGCACCCCGGGGTCTATCCCCACTCACCCCGGGGAGGTCCCCTAGGGCCTCTCCGCTCCCCCAACGCCAGTTCATGCTGCTGCTGCTTCTGCAGCTCTTTCTCGGGCTCTCGCTGTCTCCCACGGTCCTCTTGCTCTCTCGGACTCAGCTCCAATCCCGTCCGTCTCGATCCCCCGATGGGGAACCCGATCGTGAAGACCCTCGTCTGGTCGGGGACAGGAGTCTTGGCGATGCCTGGCTCCCACTCCAGCTGCTCCCAGATCCTGCTATAGCCCCAGTTGGGGTCAGGAATCTGTTCCTTAGAGCGGTCATCCTCCTCCAGCTGCACGATTAACTCTGCTTTGGTGAACTTTCCAAAGCTCAACCCTCTCTTTTTGCACAGGGTTACAATGTCCTTCTTAAGGAGACGGTGACAGGCCGTCACTCCGCTCCTCCCAAGCTGTTGTGGACTCACAGGTCCGTGTGTTCTCAGCTCCCCACGGTTTCCAGGGAGAACCCCTAGTGTGCCAGCCCTTCTCGAGGTCACCACCTCTTTGCCAGGGTCGAGCTGCAGACTCCTCCGCCCCTGAGACTGCTCACTGCAGTCTCCAGGGGGACCCCAATACTGCACAGTCCTTCTCGCTGGTCACACACTCCCAGGGGTTAACCGCCCCCCGAAACCGCTCCTTTCTGAGCCTTCAGCAGGCCTGGTCCTCGGCAATCCCCCTTCGTGTTACTGCTCCCCAGTCACTTACTGCAGGAAGCGCCATCCACGGGGTGCAGTACATCCCACCACTGCCACCAGTTGTCACGGAGTCCCTGGGCGATGCTCTGGAACTGCTCCCCATGAAGCCAGTCAGGACTCTGGGGTAGTCGCCTTTCTGTGAGCAGCCTGTCTTCAGGACACGCAGCTCACACAGCTTCCACCTTCCTGGGTCTGACCTCGGAGCATTCAGCATCCTCTGCCCCTCCGTGCGCTTCCCCCAGCGAGTCCCGCTCAGGCGGGGCTCCTGGGAAGCCAGAGGGTCCTGCACCCCAACTCCGCAGTCAGGCGTGACTCTCAGCCAGCCAGTAAAACAGAAGGTTTATTAGACGACAGGAACATGGTCTAAAACAGAGCTTGCAGGTGCAGAGAACGGGACCCCTCAGCTGGGTCCATTCTGGGGGGCAGTGAGCCAGACAACCACGTCTGCACTTCACTCCATGTCCCAGCCAGCCCCAAACTGAAAACCCCCCTCCAGCCCCTCCTCCTCTGGGCTTTGTTCCTTTCCCGGGCCAGGTGGTCACCTGATTCCTTTGTTCTCCAACCCTTTAGCTCTCACCTTGCAGGGGGGAAGGGCCCAGGCCATCAGTTGCCAGGAAACAGGGTGTCGGCCATTCTCTGTGTCCAGACCCCTGCACACACCTGCCCTCTAGGGCTCTGCAATGATCATACACCCTTACCCCACCACCTAGATACTTAAGAACTGCATAGGGGAAACTGAGGCACCCCCACAATATTCAGAGGAAACATTAAGAACAGGCCCACTTCGTCACAGGGTGCAGCATATGTGGGGGGCACAGGGGGTGAATGGGACACTGGGGTTAGGTGTAGGGGTGCAGTGTATGTGGGGGGTGTGACGAAGTTTGACTGTTCTTAATGTTTCCTCTGAATAGTGTGGGGGTGCCTCAGTTTCCCCTAGGCAGTTCTTAAGTATCTAGGGGATGGGGTAAGGGTGTATGATCGTTGCAGAGCCCTAGAGGGCAGGTGTGTGCAGGGGTCTGGACACAGAGAATGGCCGACACCCTGTTTCCTGGCCACTGATGGCCTGGGCCCTTCCCCCCCTGCAAGGTGAGAGCTGAAGGGTTGGAGAACAAAGGAATCAGGTGACCTCCTGGCCGGGGAAAGGAACAAAGCCCAGAGGAGGAGGGGCTGGAGGGGGTTTTCAGTTTGGGGCTGGCTGGGACATGGAGTGAAGTGCAGACGTGGTTGTCTGGCTCACTGCCCCCCAGAATGGACCCAGCTGAGGGGTCCCGTTCTCTGCACCTGCAAGCTCTGTTTTAGACCATGTTCCTGTCGTCTAATAAACCTTCTGTTTTACTGGCTGGCTGAGAGTCCCGTCTGACTGTGAAGTTGGGGTGCAGGACCCTCTGGCTTCCCCAGGAGCCCCGCCTGAGCGGACTCGCTGTGGGAAGTGCACGGAGGGGCAGAGGAGGCTGAATGCTCTGAGGTCAGACCCAGGAAGGTGGAAGCTGTGTGAGCTGCGTGTCCTGAAGACAGGCTGCTCACAGAAAGGCGACTGCCCCAGAGTCCTGACTGGCTTCATGGGGAGCAGTCCCAGAGCATCGCCCAGGGACTCCGTGACAGGGGGCACGGGGTGTTAGGTGTAGGGGTGCAGCGTATGTGGGGGGCACAGGGTGTATGGGACACGGGGGTTAGGTGTAGGAGGTGCAGCGTATGTGGGGGGCACAGGGGGTGTATGGGGCACGGGGGGTGTAGGTGTGGGGGGGGGGTGGGGGGGGGGGGTGGGGGCGGGGTTAGGTGTAGGGGGTGCAGTGTGTGGGGGGGGACAGGGGGTGTATGGGGCACGGGGGGGTTAGGTGTGGGGGGTGCAGTGTGTGGGGGGACAGGGGGTGTATGGGGCATGGGGGTTAGGTGTGGGGGGTGCAGCGTATGTGGGGGGCACGGAGGGTGTATGGGGCACGGGGGGTTAGGTGTAGGGGTGCGGTGTATGTGGGGGGCACGGGGGGGTGTATGGGGCACGTGGGTTAGGTGTAGGGGTGCGGTGTATGTGGGGGGCACGGGGGGGTGTATGGGGCACGGGGGGTTAGGTGTAGGGGTGCAGTGTGTGGGGGGGGGCACAGGGGGTCCCCGTGTGTGGGGAGGGTCACAAGGGATACATGGGGGGTGGGGCACAGGGCGGTCAGCCCCGCCCCCCTTGAGGTACCGGAAGCGCCCGGACCCTTTAGAGGGCGGCACCGGCCGGAAGTGCCCGGCGCGCAGAGGCTGCCGCACGGGCTGGACCGGAAGTGTCGTGTCCACGTGGGGACGGGGACGCGGAGGCATGGGGCGCGAGGGCAAGGTGCGGGGGGCCGCGGGGGGCGCCAGGGGCCAGGATGGGGGGAGGGAGCGTGGGGGGGCTGGACGTGGGGGGGCAGGGGAGCGTGGGGGGGCTGGACATGGGGGGGGCTGGTCGTGGGGGGGGAGCGTGGGGGGGGGCTGGACGTGGGGGAGGGGAGCGTGGGGGGGCTGGACGTGGGGCTGGTCGGGGAGGGGAGCGTGGGGGGGCTGGACGTGGGGAGGGGAGCGTGGGGGGGCTGGTCGTGGGGAGGGGAGCGTGGGGGGGCTGGTCGTGGGGGGGGAGCGTGGGGGGGCTGGTCGTGGGGAGGGGAGCGTGGGGGGGCTGGTCGTGGGGGGGGAGCGTGGGGCGGGCTGGACGTGGGGAGGGGAGCGTGGGGCGGGCTGGACGTGGGGAGGGGAGCGTGGGGCGGGCTGGACGTGGGGAGGGGAGCGTGGGGCGGGCTGGACGTGGGGAGGGGAGCGTGGGGCGGGCTGGACGTGGGGAGGGGAGCGTGGGGCGGGCTGGACGTGGGGAGGGGAGGTGGGGGGGGCTGGTCGTGGGGAGGGGGGGGGGGGGGGGTCGTGGGGAGGGGGGTGGGGGGGGGACGTGGGGAGGGGAGGTGGGGGGGGGTGGGGGAGGGGAGGGGGGGGGAGTGGGGAGGGGGGTGGGGGGGGAGTGGGGAGGGGGGTGGGGGGGGGAGTGGGGAGGGGGGGGGGGGGGGTGGGGGAGGGGGGGGGGGGGGGGTGGGGGAGGGGAGGGGGGGGGTGGGGGGGAGGGGAGCGTGGGGGCGGGCTGGTCGTGGGGAGGGGAGCGTGGGGGGGCTGGACGTGGGGGGGAGGGGAGCGTGGGGCGGGCTGGACGTGGGGGGGAGGGGAGCGTGGGGGGCAGGACGTGGGGGGCCTGCTGACCCCCTGCCCCTCCCCCGCAGACCAAGAACCAGAAGCGGGCACGGGCGGCCGCCCAGCAGCGGGCTCAGGACCAGTTCGCCTCCGTCCCTCACTCGTTTGTCTTCCACCGCGGGCGTGTGGGCCGGAGCCTGCAGCAGCTCATCCTGGACGTGCGGCGGGTGATGGAGCCGTTCACAGCCAGCACCCTACAGGTGAGCCCCCCGCCCCGGGGTCCCGGCCGCCCCGGGGTCCCGCGAAGCCTGCCGGTCCACGGAGGCTGGGCTTTGAATTCAAGGCTGTGCGGGCAGGACGCTTGGGTTCTGTCCCGGCTCCAGGAGGGCCGCGGGGTCTAGTGTGTTAGAGAGGAGGTGGGGTGGGAGCCAGGACCCCGGGGTTCTCTCCTGGCTCTGGGAGGGGAGCAGAGTCTCTGGGAACACCCCTTTTTAGCCCCCCAAGTGCAGGCCGCAAGCCCCGAGGTGAGCGTAGCGCGACACTTGCTGTCTTCCAGGTGCGGAAGAAGAACTCCCTGAAGGATTTTGTGGCGGTGGCAGGGCCTCTGGGCGTGACACACTTCCTGGTCTTCACCAAATCCCCCACCAATGTCAACTTCGTAAGTGGTGCGATGGGGGCCAGAGGGAAAGCCCTCAGTCCCCCAGCTCCGTGCCTGGTCAGGCTGGAACACCTCCCTGGGTTCAGTAAGGGGCAGGCCTCCCCCCATGGCTAGGAAAGGTCTTACTGGGGCCTTTGCTGATTGCTTGAGCCTCTTTGTGCCTGCCACCACCTTCCCCTACAGCCCGGTCCAGAGCACAGAGCCGGCACTGTCCGGCACTGCACCGAGCTGGGGTGCAGGGAGGCTTGTGCCTGGCTGGGTGCCCCTCTTTCTAGTTCCAGTGACGTTCCTTCCCCTGGGGTCTCCTATGGCGGATGCAGCTGATGAAGCAAATCTTACTGAGCATGCTCTGTGATTTCAGTTCCAAAGTAAACGCACTGATGTATCCGTCCCGCTGGGCAGAGCGAGAGGAGCAGACACGGCAGCCTGCTCAGCACCGGGCCTGGCACTGCCCTGGTGGGCAGGTGCTGACCATGCCCAGCCCTGACTCTTGTGTCTCTCTGTCTCTCTCCCGCAGAAACTTGTCCGTCTCCCCGGAGGCCCAACACTGACCTTCAAAGTCACGCAGGTGGGTGCTGGGCACGTTGGGCCGGGGGTCCGGAGCTGCCCCCGCCCGTTAGTCTGGGATTAGCGCGGGCAGGTTACTCCTGCCTCCTTAAATCCCAGGCCAGCTCAACTTGTGTGGGTTGTGGGTGTCCAAGTCTGTCCCTGGCCAGAGCTGGGCGTGTGTCCCCTCTGGGGGAGGGGATGCTACCCGCGCAGCGATCACGCTGCTGCCCTGGCTTCCCCGTGCGCTGTTGAGCACAAGCCGGGGATGCCAAGAGGTGAGGCCCCCTCCCTGGTCCAGCTAGTCAGCCCAGAGCCCCCCATGCCTCTCGCCAGCGCCCCAACCTCCCGCTCCCTCCGCCCTCCAGTACTCGCTCATCAAGGACGTGGTGTCGTCACTCAAGCACCACCGCATGCACGAGCAGCAGTTCACGCACCACCCGCTCCTGGTGCTCAACAGCTTCGGGCTGCAGCAGATGCACGTCAAGCTGATGGCCACCATGTTCCAGAACATGTTCCCCTCCATCAACGTGCACAAGGTGGGTGCGTGGGGGGAGGAGGCACTTGGGGAGCAGGATTGAGGCCCCCCAGCCCGTGCTGCAGGAAGCATGGAGTTCCCTGGGGGCTGGCAGGGGTAGGGGGAAGACCCGCTGTGGCTAGTGCTCATCTCTGGTGCTCACCGCCGTGCGGCTCTGCCCCCAGGTCAACCTCAACGCCATCAAGCGGTGCCTGCTGATCAGCTACAACGCGGACACCCAGCTCCTGGACTTCCGGCACTAGTAAGGGTCTGCGCTGGGGACCATCAGGGGCCAAGCACCACGGCTTCTCCGGGCTCCCTGGTTCCATGGCTGGGCACCAAGGGAGATCAACTGGGCTGTGTGAGAGGGGAAGGGAGGCTCTGTCTCGGCAGGTGACCCCTACGCCTCTGGATGCTGGCAATGAGGGTATAGTCTGCTGATGGTTCGGTGATTTCATCCTACAGTAAATGCTCTGAGGCATCCAGCGAGCGGGAACCGGCAGGGATGGCTGACAGACTCCTCCTCCTCCTTCCCGGGGGTCACCTGCATCCCCAGCAGCTCAGGGCATGGTGCTGAGCGCCTGGCGTAGAACTCGGCCCCGTCCCAGCAGCGGGGGAGAGCAGGGTGTGCGGGGGTGGGCTGTGCTCCTTGCTCTGCTGGCTCCAACCCCTCATCTCTACGGCCTGACCGGAGCCGTGCAGTGCGTGGCGAAGTGCCAGCCCGGGAGCAGCTGCGGAGCGCTGGGTTCGAATCCCACTGCAGTTCCTCTGGCGCTGTCTCCCTCAGTCAGTTCCCTGCCATTGCCAGGCTACCCCGGCTGGCAGACCGGCTAAGCTGCTCAGTCCCGTCTGCCCTTGAGCCCCGTGATTCCTTCCTGAGCCCCTTCTGGTGCACGAGCTGGGTCCCTCTCGGCCCCTCCTGCTCCCAGAGACCCCCTGCCTGCTGAACTGGTGCATGACCCCTCCCGTCTCCTCTCCCCCAGCAGCCTGAAGGTGGTGCCTGTAGGGGCGAGCAAAGGCCTCAAGAAGCTGCTGCAGGAGAAGTTCCCCAACATGAGCCGGCTGGAGGACATCAGTGAGCTGCTGGCCAAGTGAGCGCTGGGCCCTGCGCGCCGGGGGCCGGGCTGGGATCTGAGACACTGCAGCTGCGTGCAGTGCTTGGCGGCTCGGAGTCGGCCCTGCCCACTGCTCCCACTGGCAGCTCACCCCACGTCGCCCTTCTTGAGCTTGGGAACCAGGAGCTGAGTGCCCGGGGCTTGGGGACTTGCCCACTGGGCCGGAGCTAGGGGACGGGCCTCTGAGGCTGCACTTCTGCAATGGAGCAGAGATTGGCTTAGAGCCGGGGTGGGCAGTTGGGAGCCAGGACTCCTGGGTTCTGTTCCAGCTCTGGGAGGGGAGTGGGAGTCTAGTGGTGAGAGTAGGGGATGCTGGGAGCCAGGACTCCTGGGTTCTCTCCCCGGCTCTGGGAGGGGAGCGGTGTCTAGTGGGTCAGTGCAGGGCTCTACCACGTTGTGTCCTGTGACCGGCTGGGTTTTCTCTGCAGGGACATTAACCTGTCGGAGAGTGAGGCCGAGCAGGACGGGACCCACAATATCCTGGAGCTGCCCCAGGCCTACGCGGGCCGGGGGAACATGAAGGCCCAGCAGAGTGCCGTGCGTCTCACTGAGGTGTGTGCTGCAGCCAGGGGCAGGGGGTGGAGCCGGCTGGCAGGGCGTGATGAACACAGAGACCTTGATAGAACCGTGATCTTCAAAGTAAACGTTCTGATCCGGCCATGGGGCTGCGTGGGAGGCTGGGAGGGCTCCACACCCCCTGCCTGCTCTGCCCCCAGCTGTAACCGGGCAGGGGCCTGGGGCCGGCCCTGGTCTGATGGGTTCTGTCACCTTCCTCGCAGATTGGTCCCCGAATGACCCTGCAGCTCATCAAGGTGGAGGAAGGGTTGAGCCAGGGCAACGTGCTTTACCACAGCTTCAGTAAGTGCCCTGCCCGACCCGGCCCCCCTCCGGGTCCGCAGGCTCCAGGCCCCACGTGACTCCCGTTCCTGCCCTTGAGTGGCGAGTTCGAATCCCTGGGGTCCATCCCCACTGAGCTCCTCCCCCTTCCCCCCCAGTTCTCAAGACGGAGGAGCAGCTCCAGGTGGCCCTGGCCCGGAGGGAGGAGCGGCTGCGGCTGAAGGCAGAGCGGCGCTGCCGGCAGGAGGCCGATGTGCAGCGCAAGGAGGCGCAGCGGGAGGCCCACAGGTGAGCGGGAGGCCCCCCATCGCTGGGGCAGCAGCCACGGGCGGGGGATGGGGGTGGGCTTGAGGGAGACGGGCCAGGAACCCCAGCCTGGGTCTGGGCCGGCTGCAGCCCCGGAGCCTGCACGGGCCCTGAGCCCGGCCCTGTTCCCCGCGGTGCGGTGCATGCTGGGAGTTGTAGTCCCCTCGGGGCCCGACGCTGGTGCTTTGCTTTGGGGTGCAGGAAGCAGAGCCTGGCAGGGATCAAGAGGAAGCAGCAGCAGCAGGGGGAGGATGGCGACAGCGGTGCTGAGGATCCTGGGATGCCGGAGGACCAGGACCCGGCCGACCAGTCAGATGACGACGCGGAATATTACCGGCAGGAGGTGGGCGAGGAGCCCGACCAAGGTGAGTCGTGACCCAGATGATCTGTGCTCGGAGCTGGGCTGCTGGCACCGGCCCCGGGACGGGGGAGCCAGGGCCCCCGAGTCTCCATGCCGGGAGCAGCTGATGATGCGAATCTTCCTGAGCGTGTTCTGTGATTTCAGTTCAAAGTAAACGCACTGATGCACCCGGCCCCCAGCCCTGCCGCATGGACTGCGCCTAGCCCCCCGGCATTGCAGTGCCCAGCCCCTGGCAGCAGTGGCCTTGCACTGGGTCTAGCTTAGGCTGGTATTGAAGCCTAGTTTTGGGGTCCCATCTTCAGCCAGCTCTGACCTCTGGAGCACGGATCCCTTGGTGGGTGGTTCTGGTAACCCAGCCTGGGGCCATCTCACAGCCCCGGCGCCCTATCTCCCCTGCCCTATGGCTGTTCCCATTCCCTACCCAAGGGGCCTTGCCGGTCCTGGATTGTGACTCTCCTCTCTGGTTCTCCCCTGTCTCTAGATCTGTTCCCTAAAAGTGCTAAGAGGAAACACGGGCCCCAGCGCTCCCCCCAGCCCAGCAAGAGACTCCGAACCAGCCAGGCTGGGGGGCAGCCTGCCAGCCCCCAGCCAGGCAGAGCCAGCCGCAAGGCGAAGCACAGGAGCCTCCCTGGCCAGCAGCAGAGGGGTGGGCGCAGCCCCAGGGAGCCGGGGATCTCACAGAGGCCTGGCCAGCAGAAGGACCCACGGAGCCCCAAGGCCCACAGGCGGCAGGAAGGAGCACGGAGTCTGAAGCCAAAAGGACCCACGCAGCAGGGAACCAAGCGGGGCCTTAGGGTCCCTGGCTCCAAGTTCAAAGGGCCAGGGAAGCCGGGACTGCAGAGGAAGCAGGCAGCCCGGGGGAAAGGGGTGCTCCAGAGGCCCAGGGCCCCCAAAAAGGGGTGGCACTAGCCCCTCCAGGACTCTCAACCTTGTCCATAGACTGGGGGAAGGGGGGGGGTGTGCTGGATTTCCTGGGCTCTTGGCCCTGTGCTGGCTGGCTGGGCAATACACCACTGCATTCCTCTCGTCTGTCTGTGCTGGTCCTGTGTTTGGGGGGGGGCCACTGCTCTGAGCCAAGATGCGGGTGCCCTCCCCTCCCAGCCTGATCTCTTATGGACCCTACTCAGGCACAAGCCCAATGCTGCCCACCTCGGAGCTTCTCTGGGGGCAGGATGGGATCTGTGGGTGGTTACCTGCCCCTCCCCGAAAGGGTGGCGCAAGGCCCTCCCGCCACCCTCCTGCTGTGGGGGAAGGGGAGGAGCAGCTTCTGCTGTCAGCTGCGAGCAGGAAGGAACTTGCCACTGCTTCCTGCCCCCAGCTGGGCAGCAGCACCGAGCTGGGCCAGGGCAGTGCCAGGTGAGGTGCGGGCAGGGGGAGGCAACTAGCCACGGTTGCAATTCATAGCACAGCGTGTGGGGTCAGGGGCGGGAGGGGGAATGGTTCTGTCCCTAAACCCTCATCCCCGGGCAGAGCTGAGCCCTCCGTTGCGGCGTGAGCAACCAGCTGTGGGGGAAGCAAAGCAGGATGCTGGGGTGGGCATGGAGACACTTCGTGGGGGCTGGCGGCCCAGAGTTGCCTTCTTGGGGGTGGGGGGAGCAATTCTGGCTCTGTGGCAGGCAGCAGGCCCAGGGAAGCACATGCTGGGAAGGGGTTCTCAACCATGAGAGCGTCTCTCCCGCAGGGGCATGGGCAGAGAAAACCAGGGGGGGCAGTTGGCTCCTGCTCCCAGTAGCCCTGCAGCAGCCTGGGGGTAGGGAACACAATCCGGGGGGCCAGCTACGGCAGCTGTGCTGGGTGCACCATGTGGCCAGTCCCACCACCTTTGTTCAAGCTGCACTGGCTGCCAGGGGGCAGGAGGTCCAGGGCCCCCCAGCAGCAGGGGAACAGATGTGGCAGGTGCAGCCTGGTCTCACCCCCCAGCTGTAAAATTCCCCCCTCTCCCAGCCTAGGCTGGGACCCTAGGGCCACTTCGCACCACACTGCACCAGCATCCGGCCTGAAGGGGGGAGGGGAGGCAGGCAGGGAGCCTCGAACTCAGCCTCCCGCTTCCTCTGCCCCAGGATGGCAGCACCAGGCCACCACGGGCCGGGGCCCTTCAAAGCTTCCCTCAGTTCGTTCCAGCAGCAGATGTGGCCTGCGCTGGTGGTCGAGTTCTTCCTGGCCTTCGCCGGCAACGCCTTCGCCATCTACCGCTTCGTGGCCCACGAGCGCACCTGGCACCCGGGCATCGTGTACTCCTTCAACCTGGCCGTCAGCGACCTGCTCTACGCCCTCTCCCTGCCCTTCCTGGCCGCCTACTACTACCCGCCCAAGCACTGGTCCTACGGCCTGGCCCTCTGCAAGCTCGAGCGCTTCCTCTTCAGCTGCAACCTGTACGGCAGCATCTTCTTCCTCACCTGCATCAGCCTGAACCGCTACCTGGGCGTGGTGCACCCCTTCCTGGTGCACGGCCGGCTGGAGCCCCGCCACGCCAAGCTCCTGAGCGGCGCCGGCTGGCTGCTGGTGGCCGGCCTCTCCGCCCCCACCCTCTACTTCTCGGAGCTGCAGCCCCAGGGGAACTGCACCGAGTGCCTGGGCAGCGCCACGGACGAGCAGCTGCCCCGCTACCTGCCCTACAGCCTCTTCCTGGCGGCCTTCGGCTGCGGGCTGCCCTTCCTGCTAACGCTCTTCTCCTACGGGGCCATCTTCCGCACCGTCTGCCGCAACCCCCACCTGACGCCGCTGGAGAAGCGCCAGGTGGGGTGGCTGGTGAGCGTGGGGGTGGCTCTCTACGCCGTCTCCTACCTGCCCTACCACACCCTGCGCAACCTCAACCTGGGCCTGCGGCAGCAGCAGGCCGAGGGGCAGGACAAGCAGCACGTGCTGCTCATCCACTCCGCCTACCAGCTCAGCAAGCTCCTGGTCACCCTCAACATCTGCACCCACCCGCTGCTCTACGCCGCCCTGGCCGACAGCATGCGGGCCTGGTGCAGGGCTCCCCGCGGGCAGGACAGGGCCCAGCCCGCAGAGAACATGGCGCTAAAGGCCTGTGGCTGACCCCGGGGATGGAACCAGCCCCCCACCGTTGTGCTGCAGGCCCACAGGACGAGCTTTGCCCCCCCCGGGGCCAGCCGACCATGCAGAGCAGCGGGGTAACAGCAGCTGCTCCAGCCTGGGGGAGACACCCTGCCCCCACGAGGGGGGGCTGGGCTGGGCTCCTTTGAGATCAGCCATTAAAGCAGAGTCTGAGCCCCCTGCTCCGTGTCCTGTCACTCTCGTATAGGTCCTGGGGCCGGCTGCAGCCGCAACCCCCCTGCAAGGGCTGGGAAGCAGGCCCAGAGCCGCCTGGTTCCTGTGTATGTCACCACGGCCCCCCCCCGCTGCTCTGCTCCCATCACATGGCCACAGGGTGCTGGAGGCTGAGTCAGGACAAGGGCCCGGCCCAGCCCCCACTCCCGCCAGCTGCATCGCATAAAGCCGTGCAGCTCAGCGCAGCCCCTGCAACCCCAAGCTTCCTGCCAGCCCCTCCCAGGCGGGGGAGGAAGTGAGACCGCCACACGCCCGGCGGGGATGAACCTTTATTATGAACCAAGTCTCTCAACAGCAGCAGCCATTCCTGGAGCAGCAGCTGGCAGGGCGCCGGCCTCAGTTGGTGGAGGGTCTGTGTGGGGAAGAGCGGGGTTAGAATGGGAATGAAGCCAGGGGTCAGCTCTAACCTCCCCCTCCCCACGCCCTCCAACCTCCCTCCGCCCCGCCCCAGAGAGGATCCCGAGGGGGGTAGCGACAAGGGGACCCCCGGCATCCGCCCCAGGCCTGGCACTCACTTGGCCCACTCCACGTTGAGGATGAGGTGGTCATAGCCAAAGCCGGAGACACCGGCAATGGCACGGGCAGCATCCTCGCGCCGGTGGAAGCTGATGAAGGCAAAGCCCTGGGGGAGGAGGCAGGTGGTGAGATCAGGGTGGGGGCTCACTCCAGTCCCTGGGACCCCCAGAAAAAAGGGACTGTGGGACAGTGCCTGGCACGGCCTGGTTCTTCGCCCTCACCTTGGACTGCCCCGTGGTCTTGTCCTTGGCCAGGTAGATCCTGGAGATGGAGCCGAAGGGACGGAACAGCTCCTGCAGGTCGGTCTCCCGCGTGTCCTCTGACAGGTTGGTGACCCGGATGGTGGCATTGTCATCGGCTGGGGAGAGGGGGACAGGTCAGGGCAGCCAGCAGGGTGGTGCTGCCAGAGCCCTGGGGACCACAGGCTGGGCAAGCGGGGAACTGTCCGGCACGAGTCACACGCACCGTGCAGGAGGTGCCGTCGGCCCCACTGCGCATGGGGAAACTGAGGCACAGAGCTGGGGGTGGGACCTTGAGTCCAGGCTGCCCTCCAAGCTAGCAGTGAGAAGTGGAAAGGCCACTGGTCTGCAGCTCAGCCCTGCCCCATGGTGGGCGCCAGGCCCCAGCACTTACCCCTGCGGTTAGGCTGCATGGATTCCCCGCGGCGGCTGGCTCCATCCCGCAGACTGGGCGGGACGTACTTCCCAGTCTTGCTCTGCTGGGCCTGGACCGGCTCCGGTTCTGGGAAAGCCGGAAACATGGGGCTTTGAGCAGTGCCCAGACCCCACCCATCCCCCACCTCCGGAGACCTGCCTGCCCCTCAGACCCCACTGGGGAGCCCCCACTGCACCCCCTCCCCAGGGACCTGCCCGCCCCTCAGCCACCACTGGGGAGCCCCCACTGCACCCCCTCCCTGGGGACCTGCCTGCCCCTCCGCCACCACTGCGTGGCCCTGCTGCACACACCCTGTGACCCTAAGAGCGACCAGATGTCCCGTTTTTATAGGGACAGTCTCGTTCTTTTGGACTTACATAGGCACCTATTACCCCCCCACCCCCTGTCCCGTTTTTTCAACGTTGCTATCTGGTCACCCTACTAAGAGCCCTTGAAGCCAGTTGGCAGAGGAGCACCCAAACGGCATTTGTAACCTCTACAATCACCAGCGACCCGCTGGCTGGTCGGGCTGCATAGGATGAGTTGTGTGCACTGAAAAGACGTTCTTAAAATCTCCTGTGGAGGCAGCAGATCAACCCGCCTGCCCGAGGCCAAGGGATGGGCACTGCCCTGTCTGCAGGGACCAGGCTAACAAGCGGAGGAGAAAGCTCCATAGCTTGCTGACAAGCAAAGGACAACAGAAGGACCTGTGCCTCGAAGGCAACCGAAGTAACCAAGCCAGCGGAGAGGGCAAAGGAACCCAAGGCTTGGGGCTTGCCCCCAAAGAATAAGCAGCTGGCAGAGGGGCTTTGCCTGGGTTCACTTTTCAGAGGTTTTCGGGATGACGGAAGGGGACAAGGAGGGCCCTGCAGTATCCATCCAAGGGGACAAAGGGGTCAGCACCCTCTGGCTCTGCAACCCCTGGATCCTTGGCTGCAGTGAATGCTTCCAGGCAGGCAAGGTTTGGAGTGGCAGAATAGGGCGTCTGCTGGAGAGGCAGGCGGGCTGGGGCAGCAGGGAGCCTCTGCACTCCAGCTGCGGGGTAACACAGGGCGTCTGGGTCTGGGCTCCCCAAGGACAGCGGCATGCCGCCGTCGCAGGATTTACACACCTGGGGCTGGGGCTCACACTTCAAGCACTGGCTTTGAAGTGACTCAGAGCAGAGCTGGCCTCCGCTTGGGGGTTTCTGGTGATTTTGGGTGAGGCAGTAAAACGAAAAAAGGATAAAAACGAGCAGCGGCGAAACTGCCCCAAAGCTGGATCTGGCCAGGCGGGGGCTGCACAGAGGCGGGGGCTGCAGGAGCTGAAAGGAGAGCAGAGCCGGGGAGGCAGGAAACAGCTGCCCACCAGCGAACTATGGACTGCAAGCAGCAGCAGCCCCAGAGAAGGAAAGGCAGCCAAGCTGAATGAGGGGGCACGGCTCCCAGGTATTCCCTATCCCCATGGCACGCCCCAGTGGACCGAACTGGAACCGGGCAGGGGGGTTAGAAGAATCCATCACCCCTTCTGATACTGAGAATCCAGCACAAGGGAGTCCCCACGCTGGGTGACCCATTTGGCGTACTTAGCGAGACGGGCGCAGACAGGCTTTGAAATACACGCATGAGCCGAGATTTCCAACAGACTCCAAACCCCCCAAAGCCCCAGCTGAGTCAGAGCGTGCGTAGGGCGGGCAATTTAACCAAGAGACAGGCAAAGGGGCAGAGTCACGCCCCCGCTGCGCCCCCCTCCACCGGCTCTCCCCACCCATCCCCCTCCTCCAGGGACCTGCCTACCCATCAGCCTCCATTGGGGAGACCCTGTTGCTCCCCCTGCCCATCCCCTTGATTAATCCAGAGTGCCCCCACTGTACTCCCGGGCTCCCACCTGCCCTGTTCAACCCCCGTGCAGGGACTCTGCCCTCCCCGGGGCATGGGTCCACCCGCACCTCCTGGAAGCTTCTCCTTCTCGCCCGTGGACAGGCCCAGCTGCTCAGCCAGCTCCTTCTGCATGGGGCCCAGCGTGTCCTTGTAGGGGCAGCGCGTCGTCCAGTGGTCACCCTTGCAGATCCGGCACGACACGATCTTCTGCCCCTTCAGCTTGTTCATGGGGTCCTCCTCCTCCTGGCAGTTCAGGTCCTGCAGCAGACGGGGCAGGGCCGTCAGCCCCAGGAAGCCCTCCCCACCTGGGACTCCCACATCCTCCTGCCCATTCCCCACCCCACTACCCCAAAGCCGGCGAGCCAAGGCTCCCCCCCCCCCCCCCCGTCTCAGAGTAGCCCAGGGCAGACAGACCTGTCGGATGCTGTCAGAGCCCTGTGCCCCTCACCCCCGCTGGGTCCCCTCGAGATCCCATTAGCCACCCAGAGACCTACTTCACCCCCCAGAACCCCTGGCCAGCCCAGCCCCCACCCCCGCACTCACCTCCTTGCTGGTGATGAAGGTCATGAAGACATCATCGCTCACTGTGGTTGTGGCCACATTGGGGCCCGGAGCATCAAACTCAGAGTTGCCGAATTTCTTCCAGTTCTGGGCGAGAGCCAATGGTCACAGTGGGTGTTGAGGAGCTGATGGGGCCATGCTCTCCCCCCCCGCACACACACACTTCCCTAGGCCTTGCCCCCTCTCGCAGGACCTGACACCAAGTGCCCCGCAGGCATGGGAGCCCCAGCAAGGCCAGCCCCTAGTAGCCCCAGGAAAGCCCCACTGTCTCTGACCCCCTGCCCCAGCTCAGCAGCCCCCACTGCCCAGCAGAGGGTTAAGCCAGGGTAAGGGCAAAGGGCTTCCAGGAGCGCAGTGGGGATGGAAGGAGGGACACAGAACTGGAGGGACAAGGGAGACCTGGCAGCAAGATGAGGGATGAGGCAGAGCCCTGGGGTGAGCTGGCAGGGCTGGGAAGGATTTCCCAGCTCCCTGCATAGACATCTGCTAAGCTACCCCCAAGGCGAACAGCCTATGCGGATTAACGCCTCGTGGCCCTGCTATCCCAGTGCGGAGCCCACTCACCTTCCGCCGCGCCACAGCCTTGGAGGCCTTCCTGGTCTCAATTCGGAAGGTGCGGATGATCTGCAGAGGAACAACAGTACCAGTCGCTGAGTGCCATGGGGGCAGGCGGGGTCATGGCGTGCCAAGGGGAGTGGTGCTGAAGCTGGGCCCGCAACCAGATGCTCCAGTTGGAGACATGCTTGGCTGCTTCACTCCGGCTCCAGCCGCGCCTGCATTCCAATGGGGTGGAACACCACACGTGGGTGCTCTGCAATTGGGGTATTCCTTGGGGGCTAGGCCTTGCAATTAGGAGAAAGCGGAGGGGAAGGGAAAAGCAGACAAAGCCACCCAGTCAGGGGAGCTCCACTGCTTAGGATATACGGCCCTGCCCCGGGGAAGGGGCTGTGGGGAGCGATCCTGCCCCCAGGACGGGAACAGGCTGGCTTGGACCAAGTGGATTTTCCAGCGGGAGCTGGGGAGGATTCCAGCCTGAAGCCCGGTGCACTGTGGGGCCCGCTCCCCAGTCCCACCACTTACCTTCACCTTGCGCCCATCCTCCTCCTCCCGGTACTCTGTGATGGTTTTGATGTTCCCGTTGATGAGCTCTTTTGGGGATGGGAGGGGACCTGCAGAGGGAAGTGGGGAGGCTGGTGAGACAGCTGCGTGACTGGGTGTTCCCAGCATAGGGTCCCACGTCCCGACTCTTACCTGCTTTCAGCAGCTCAACATCTGCACTCAGGTCCCCGCTCAGGAGGGTGTCCTTCAGCCCCCCGCTCAAAGGGGTGTCCTTCAGCCCCCCGCTCAAAGGGGTGTCC